CCTCTTTCTATCATTATCGAAAACTAAACCAGATCCTATAGGGAACTGCATGTATTTCTTGCTATGTCAGTGGATCCCTTTGTTTCATTATCTAACGCCTTGTGGTTGCTTTCTGCATGTGTGGACTCCGACTACAAGTGTTTTGAGAAGGCGGCCGACGGTATCCGAGATGATTTGATGTACGGAATTGATCGAAAAAATTTGGGGTGGGTTCGAATTTTAACATTGCATCGTTTCTGTCACTTTCGTTAACGTATGTGACCTTCGACCACCATAATATTCATGGCAGACTAGGAAGTCGAGCATCTTATCGTAAATTTTATGTCCGGGAAGACACTGTTGATGCGTAATTTAACCGTGAACACCTGATCCCGTTTGATATCGAAGAAGGAATACTCCACATAAGGTGGCCTGAATTTCGATAGGTGATTTCAGAAGACTAGCGTTTTAAACCATTTCAGCAACATTTGTTGCCTGAATGACAATCTGCTGGATTACTCTTATCTCGAAATTAGAAAAAAGATGCAGAACATTTTGATAGCGAGAGCTATTAGGACGCACGTTTTGGAACTTTTCACGTTTCCATTTCTGTGCATTGTTCGTGAGAATAAGGCGTAACGTGAATCAAGCCAACATAACATTTAGGATACCCTACGGTTAAATCAATTTCTTATCGTTCCTTGCCCTTGAAGCAACTTAAAAAAGCAGTGACTTACTGTATTTTCAGCTGTACGAAATCCGCATGGAAAATAGTGAAGGGGTATTGGTGAATGTGATAAATGACCACATAGCATACCTCAAAAAATGAAGATCATGAGTAAACTTTCGGACCAAATTGGAAATAATGCACAGAAACCTTGTTCATAATTTTAATTCCATCCTAGCAATAAGCGACTTTTAAGAAACGAACGTCTTATATGCTTCAGCGTTTATCGACGTGTACCGTTTCTTGTCCTACGTGGAATTCACGAATATTAGTCAAAATTAACATAAGCATTGAACAGATTTCAATTTGAAGCAGGAAAATCCTACTTTGAAAGACTTCGTTTTAGTTATAAGAAAAACCCTGTAATCCTCATACCTAAAAATAATATATGTGCATTTTATATTTTAGTGTGTTTAAACTGTCCATTTTCTTCAACGCCAAGTTCTAATTGGCCAACCAGCTGTATAAAAATTATCTATTTCGCACTAAATTTAAAGAAGCGGTGGGTCATTACCATTAGTTACGTGAATGCAAACAATATCCTGTTAATGAGCACATAAACATTTTTTTTCTAAACAAGAGGAAAATTTATCGCTTATGCTTAATTGAAATTCACTTAATTCAGTTTGTACCTTTTTGATTTAGTTCAGTTTGGATTTATCATATCCTAAGGTTTTTACTGTTTAATTGTGAGTTTTTGTAGGTATCAGTATCAGTATGTTGAGGGATATGTAGGAAAAATTCCTTTGAGTGCC